TGGTTTCATTCTCATCTGGACCTCACACACTTGGATTCAGCCACAATAAGAGAAGGCTTTGCTTCATTTATAAATCCTGCATTCGGTGAGCTAACATTTCAAATCTCCTCTATGTTGTGTAACTGCAGGGAGAGGGATTAAAGGCCTTGAAATATCCTGTCTAATCTCCCTTTTGCCCAAACTCAACACCAGGATATATCCTGGAGGCCATGGCTATTATGTCTTGTCTGGAGCCCACAGACACACACACACACACACTCGCCATCCCAGCTGTTTGCAGTAAGCAGACGCATCGGTACGGGTGGGTGAGTTATCTGAGTCCTCTGTAATGCTAAGCAGCTGAGGTTTGGGATTTGCCCAATGATGTGTTAGAATTGGACTAGGGTTGACTCTATAGTCTGGCCTGTGCTGAGCAGCATTGATCTATTCTGGCATTCTGCAAAAGGCTCTCCATAACTCACACACAAACTCAGAGCCAATTGAAGAGATAAGAGGGACTTTACCCATTTAAACTGTCATTAATTGACAAACAGAGAATTTTTCACAATTATTAATTACTGAAGAGGCTCCAGTAATTAGCCCACAGAGTTCTCAGGATTTCCATCTGTTCTATTCACACTGGCCGAAAAATATCAACACTGCTGGTGTCTCTGAGCAATAGCTCAGAACCCATCCTTTCTCTTCCCCCTCTTCTTCTGGAGACTTCTATTGATTTTTTTGTTGTTATTTAGTATATGAGATGTGAAATGTTTGCTTTATGACTACAGTAAATAAAGCTGTCCTTGTCTGAAGAAGTTTAGAGGATAAAGTGTGATTACTGAATGAAGCAATGCTAGTAGCCCTTTTCAATTATATTGAAATATATTAATGAGGTACTACAGTAAGCATTTAGTACCATATTAATATATTTACATACCTTTTATGATGCTTACATTACAAAGCCATTAAAATAATTATAATTGATGCATACCAGGCTTTCCCAAACGGGGTTTCACAAGAAAACTGCAGGGGGTTCATGAGTTAATGAAAAGCTAATAATGAAATAAATAAAATGTAAAATTGAAATAACCCAATTGTGCTGCAGAATTAATTGAAATAAAACTGAAATCACAATATAGTTTATAAATATACATTTAAAATCATGTAAGATATAGTTTTCATATGAGATGAAATGTCATCAGTTCAAATCTCAGTCACAAAATATGACAAAATAATTTCAATATAATGTTATGGCCATCATGCAGGCCTATACCTACTAAAAAATATTTTATAATTTATATGTTCATTTGCATACCATGTGACAATTAACCAGCATCAGAGGACATGCAAATGTGCTCTTAAATTATTGAAATAATAGCTTAAATTCTCAGGCGGTATTTCAAATAAATATTTTACATCTGAGGGGTTCGGCTGACAAAATAGTTTGGGAACCCCTGTCTTATAGAATACATTTTATTTTGGGAGGAACAATAAAAGATGTACTTTAGCTTCTTTAGTTTTAGTTGACAGTTTGTTTTGGTCATTTTTTTATGGAGAAAAAAAATCCACACAAAAGTTTGACCCCCTGCTGTCGAGACTGCCATGGAGCCCCTGTTAAATAAAAACCCTGATCCAGGCCCAAGAGAAATGCAACTTCTAAATGAAGACACTATTGACACATGTTCCTGTGGCTCAGTGGTAGAGCATTGCGTTAGCAGCGCAAAAGGTTGTGGGTTCGATTCCCAGGGAACACACTTACTGGTAAAAAATGTATAGCCTGAATGCACTGTAAGTCGCTTTGGATAAAAGTGTCTGCTAAATGCATAAATTATTATTAATTATTATTATTAATTACATAAATGTGGCACATGCCACTAAAAACATCTGATTTCCTGTGTCAGGATTTCAGTTTTATATGTACATTATAATCCTGATTTCTTTGAATGATACTCTAAACTTGGATATCTGTTATATGACATGTTGAAAGATACATATTTTAAAATCGTGAGATTGCGGCATTGACTTTTGTTGGGGATTCATGCATTACATGAGCCTTTCACTGGCACAAAATAAAATCCCAAAGCAATTGTTTGATTTATTTCATTGTGTCACTGTATTTTATAGCATCGAAACCAAGGCCAGAACATTATTCTAGTATTCAAGGCCTGAATAAGCAGGATGCTGTTGTCCTTAAACCTGTCATAACCATATCGCTTTCATGCCTCTGTAAATCTGCAAACCACCTGATGCCCACCCACCCTGACAAGTTACGAGGTGTCAGTTAAATCATCAAGACAGCTGTAGGAGGACACAGTGGACCAGAAGGATGACTTATATAATTGTCGTTAAACATTTGGACGTGTAACTTGCTATATGTTGAAAATCTATATTTATTTTATGATCATGTAGCTTAGACCTTGTTTGACACACTAGACCAGGATGTTTCATAGTGGTGTAAAGATGACTAAACCGAGACCAAAAAGGAAGAATGACTTTCAGTTCTGCTTAAAGACTTTTAGTTCCAGTTTATTTCAGCTGCCAGTTTTTATAGAAGAGTCATTAAAAATGGATGCCAAGAATTGATTTCTAAATGTGGCTGAGATGTTATTTATGACAGACATCATGCTCGGATTTAATAAGTTTTCTCCTTGTTCCCAGGCACAGCTTCAGCATGGTAAACCTCCTCAAAGGCAAATCCAACCAAGCCAATCACACAGAACGGTCACCCCTTCTCAAGTTCCCCCAAAATGACAGGTGAGCCTATATTTATTTCCCTGTTGGTTTCACAATCTTTCATATTTGATGTTCTGTTGTTCTTGTTTTCTTTTCTGTTCAGCAGTGAACAATTCTGGTAAGGTTTGTTTTTCTTGATTTTTTTATTTATTTGACATCAAAATGGTTTAATTTATTTGCGTTATGTATGTATTATGTATTTATATGTATTTATTTACCAATAACAATAAAATCCAATGGTACTCCTGCTTTATAATAAATCCTGATTTATTTTTCAGAAATCATCTGCAAGCAAATCAGAGCTTGATACGCATTCAGTTATAATTATATATACCAAACTATACAAATCAAAGTTTTCTGGCTATTTAATTAATCGTCTGTTAAGTATAATAGAATATAATTTTCATTTGCAAGTTGTTGCAAGCGTTAACCACTCGTTTCTTTTAAAGTTACAGGACCTGTTGACTTGGCTTTAGTCAAGAAAGCTTCTGCAGAACAGTTGTAGGAATATTACCTGGGGTCTGTAATTACCGACCTCATTCTCATTCAGTAATGAGAAAAAGTGGCTTTGTGACCTTCATTTCCAACAATTACTTTATATATTACCAGGTTGAAGGCAAACAGAGTTCCTCACATAATGTATGGCATTTTGATATCTTGAAGTGGTCTTGACCTCTATGTACTTCTTAATTAAACCAAACACTGCCTGCAGTACAGTATCTGATCTCTCAGTTGTCAGCCTCTATAATAATCGGGAATGATTCCAACACATTGAATTTGATACAAGACTGGAGCGCATTTCAGTTCGCTCAACCAGTGAGGAATATGTTCTCACTAGCCATGTTATTTGCACGAGAATCCCAAATTTTCCATACAAAATGTTTGTATTTTTGTATACAAATCAATCATTTTACGTGGGGAACCAACTATAATACTGTAGTTCTTAGTTCGTCAATGTTTTTGAGGCATGCGTTATTTTGTTTAATGCATTTCCTGTTTTCCCCAGAATGAGTCCTTGATTCACCCATGTATCCCTACCAGAACTCTAATGCCAGTGATTTTATGTAAATAAGGATTACACCTGTTTTCATTTTGTTTGGAGGATATTATGTCCTCCTCAATGCTGAATATTCCTATTTTCATGAAACTTTATTTTATCAGGTACATCAAAAAAAATCTCATAAAAAGTAGGATAAGTTTTCTTATGGACTTATTAAAAATAAGACAAAACATATTCAAATAATTTAAAACAACAAAAATGAGTTTAATATCAAACAATTGGTGGGCCCTCTGCTGCAGTACCACCACGGATGCTCTATTGAAGACCCCTGGTTATCATGACAGCCCTCTGAGATCAAGGGTCCTACATGGAGTAAACTGTTGTCACAGTGCTAATATGGCTGGTTGCTATCTGCTGCCCTCAGTAATACATTTTTCATTCCCTCTGTAAGGCAGTGAGCTGAATGCTAATGCTGCTAGCGATTATATTGTGTGCTCTCAGTCAGAATAATGTATCTTGCTGCCTATAATCAACACAAAAGCCTCTAGTTATGTCTAGGCACTTAGGTGTATCCTCTCTTAGCATGAATTTGTCAAAGAACTGTGTAGCATAACAGGCTTTTAACACCTTTCGTTGGTTTTAATCTCTGTTGTGTGGCTGCAATTAGCATTTAGATGACTGATCGCTTCGTAGCTGCAGAAGTGATGTTTTACTTTAGATTATAGTAAAAGTTAGCCAAGAGGGATTGGATTTTCACAACTAAATTTAAAGGTGAAGTGTTTATTCCATGAGACTAGCGGCAACAGATGTGACTGCAAAAATAATGATTATTGTAAACCGGTTTCCCAGGTCAAGCTAATTAATTTTACCACTAAACAGATAGTCCCGCCCCAAACTCACGCCATTGGTTGAGTCAGAAGTCAATCTCTTGGACTGCTCAAACAAACAGAGCAACATTTTGCAAGCACCAGTGTCTAACCCACTGTTTTTACACTGTTTTGTGCAGTATAACCTACATGACACTGCATGAGCCCAGCCTGGGGTCTGGAGAGGAATCATGGGAGGCCAGCTCTGCTGAATTGGAGAGGAGGTGCAGGCTGGGCAGTGAGGTGACCAGTCTCTCCCACATCACATCTATAGAGAAATGTGAACATTACTTCAAACTGTCATCCCCCATCAGGTACGGCATACATACACTACCATTCAAAATTTGGGGTTAGTAAGATTTTTTTTTTTTTTAGAAAAAAAAAACACCTTTATTCAGCAAGGATGCATTAAATTGATTAAGATTACCATTAAAGACATTTCTGATGTTACAAAAGAGTTCTACTTTAAATAAACACTGTTCTATTGAACATTTTATTTTAAAAAATACCCTGAAAAATTCACAAAAAAAATATTAAGCAGCAACATGTTTTCAACATTAAGCAGCAAAAGAATTAAAGTTCAACATTAAGTGTTAAAGAATTGTGTTATAATAACCCCTACAAATACAACTCATTATATACACTATAATAAACACTTTAAAGGAGACAGACATGTAGATGTTTGTGAAAGATGTTTTCTATGTTTTGGAGGGATGATTATTTTGAAATCATACCCTATTTATTGCATCAAAATTTGTTAATACTTTACTATATTTAAGGGTGGATAATTTTATCAGTTGTTTATTGCAACAATACATAACTACAATAACTTTGTCTAGTGCTCTTATGAAAGTTTATAGCATGATTTGTGAAAATTTAACTATACTGAATAGCATAGCATAGACTTCTTCATGGCTAGTTTTTGCGTATTTCATTTCATTCTGTAACCTACTTGTTCTACAGATCTGTGTGTACTAGTGGTAAATGCTACTGTTTTTGACAGCGTTGATAACGTTTATGACAGATAATATCATGATAATTTTTGCGTTTCCCCTTACCGAATGTCGTATCCTGTCAGCAAAAACCTGTCCATGGACTTTTTTGATTGCTTTCAGTTTAAGTGCCGGCGATGCAGTGTTGCCAGATATTGATACTAAAAATACAAAATACAAAAAATAAATACAAATAAACGTAAGTTATTTCCAATCTTTTGCAAATAAGATAAGATAAAGATATCTCTGACTTCCTACTTTATTAACTTTCTAAAGTGTTAAATTAAGTGGAAAAGACAAGTCCAAAAACGCTTATAATAGCTGGATCTGGCTGGA